CACATCATTAGTCATTGTTATTGTTTTCATATATTGTTCTTGAGTTGGAATTAACTCATAGCTGACCCTCCAGCAGGTTTTCAGAGTCTATAAGCCACAAGAGAGGAGACTCCCAAGCTTTCTCCCATACCGTAGTAGGCCGGTGGATCCAAACCGTTCACCTTTGGGGATGCAGTGCAACTCCTTAACCACTAGGCCACCAGGGCTCCCATATTAGTCATCAGAGAAAATGCAAAATTAAATTACATTCCCTAGTCGTTGTTGTTGTTATATACCCTCAATGAGTCAATACCCACCCACAGCTGGCCCTCCAGTGGGTTTTCAGAGGCAGTAAATCCCATAGGAGGAGACTGCCCATTTTTCTCCTAGGCAGCTGCTGGTAGATTGGAACAATAGGCCTTGGGACAGTCACTAGAATGATTGCAAATTTTAAAAAGTTAAGTAGTAACAAGTTTAGGAGAGGATGTTTGGAAAAATGGAATTTTTCACATTGCTGGTGAGAATGTAAAATGGTCCAGTCAGTTTGGAAAACAATTCAGCTATTCTGCAAAATGTTAGAAAGAGATTTACCATGAACCAAAACTAAAAGCAAACCCACTTTTGTCAGGTTGGTTTTGACTCATAGTGACCTGACCCTAGAGGAAAGGGCAGAATTGTCCCATATAGTTTCACAGCTGTACATTTTTACAGACGTTAACTGTTATGTCTCTCGCCTGCAGAGTAGCTGGTGAGTTCAAATTTCCAACCTTTGGGTTAGTGACAGACAGTTTCAACCACTGTGCCACCATGACTCCTGAGATTAACCACAGGACTCAGTAACTGCGCAAATGTCAGGGATCTCTCCAAATTACTAAGGAGCAAGGATGTCAGTTTGAAAACTAAGGTGTGCCTGATTCAGGCCATAGTATTTTCAATCATTTGGTACACATTTGAAAGCTGGACAATGAATAAGGATGACAGAAGGAGAATTAATGCCTTTGATGTGTAGGGTTGGCAAAGAATACTGAGTATCTCACGGACTGCCAAAAGAACAAGCTGATATGTCTTAGAGGAAGTGCAGCCAGAGTGCTTCTTGGAGGCAAAGATGACAAAGCTTTGTCTCACAAACTTTGGGCATGTTTGTTGGGAGAGGCTTTTCCAGAGAAGGACATCATGCTTGGAATGGTGGAAGGACAGAGGATGCCCAGATGGATTGATACAGTAACTGCAGCAATGGGCTCAACTGTGTCAGAGATGATGAGGATGGCACAGGCTAGGACAGGGTTCAGATCTGTTGTTCATAGGATTGGAATGAGTCATACTTGACTCGACAGCACCTACCACCACCACCACATGCTATAGCATGGATGAACCTCAAAACCAATACGCAATGCGAAACAACCACGCTGTATGATTTTATTTATATGGTAACCACCCCCACCCCCAAACACTGCCATCAAGTCAAGTCTGACTCATAATGACCCCATAGGACAGCCTAGCACTGCTCCTCTATGGAATGGACTGACGCATCTTTCTTGGGTGGTTGGGTGGAGTACCATTTGGTTAGCAGCTCAATGCTTAATCCCTAAGATACCAGGGCTCCTTAGTTATATGAAAACAGAAATCTGTCTGGACAGAAAGTCTGAAGGATGGAATGAGAACTGACTCCAAGTGGACACCAGGGGCCTCTCTGGAATGATGGAATAGTTCTAAACTTGGATTGTGTGATGACTGTCGCATAATTCTGTAAATTTATCAAACATGGATTTGTACAATTAAAAACAGGTGAAGGTTATGGTATATAAATTTTACTTCAACAAGATCCTATTTTTTTAAAAAGTGTATGTTTTCAAAGTATGCTCTGACTTCATGACAAAGAAAACAAAAACCCCTCAGAGTTGCATCAATAAGCAACATAATGATAAATGGAGATAAAATAAGGAAAACATTGATGTTGCCAAGGATTTAATTTTATTTGGATAAATGAAGAAATCACATGCTATACTGCATAGGGAAAATTTGGTGCAAAAGTCTGCATTAAAGTGTTCAAAAACAATTTCATTTTGAGAATTAAGGTGGAGCTCGAAGCAAGCCATGGTATTTTCAAGAGCCTTGTATGTATGTGAGAGCAGAACAATGAATAAGGAAGACTGACGAAGAATTGATGCCTTTGAATTGTAATATTGATGAAGACTATTGAATATGTCAAGGGCTGTGAGAAGAGCAAGGAGCACTGGTGCTTTAGTCTGCAGTGAGCTACATTGTTAACCCAAAGATGATGCCTCTGGTGGATCAAACTCACTAGCCACTCTGTGTGAGAAAGACGGGCAGTCTCCTCCTTGTGTCATTTATAGCCTCCAAAAACTCACTGGTGGGTCAGCCATGAGTTTGAGTGGCCAGAAGGACAGATCTGTCTTGGGGGTAAAAAACAGAAATTAGAGCGTTCTTTATAAGTGAGGATGGAGTGATTTCACGTCAAGTATTTTGGACACCTTATCAGGAAGGGCCAGTCCCTGGAGAAGGACATCCTGTTTGGCAGACTTGACTCATGGAACTATCACATTGGCCTTTCAAGGGTATGAATCTTTGCAGGACCAAACTGTCTCAAATTTCTTTTGAAGAGTGACTCTTTTTTTTCCATTGCTGTTGAGTTAGAACAGATTCATGGCTGATCCTACACATGGTCTTTTTAGAGGCTGTAATTCAGATGGATTTGAACTTCCTCGCTCATCTTTGGGTTGGCAGCACAACTCCCTACCAACTGGGTCACTGGGTTCAGGTTGCCAGTCTTTTTTGTTGTTGTTAGCAGACCAATGTCTGATGACACAGTGTCACCAGGGTTCCTAGGCTTGGTGATTGTTGTTCTTATGTACCACTGAGTCAAGCTGGAATTGAATCCTAGCTGACAATCCAGAGGGTTTTCAGAAGTAGTTACCCAATAGGAAGAGATAACTCATCCTTCTCCAGCAGAGCTGCTAGTGTAGTCAAACCATGTCGCTTTGAGTTAGCAGCTCAAAGTACTATGTCACCAGAGCTTCCTTAGGCTTGGTGGTGGTGGTTGTCGTTGTGTATGGTCGAGTTGGAACCGACTCATAGCTGACCCTCCTGCCGGTTTTCAGAGGCATGGGAGGAGACTGCCCATCCTGCTCCCGCAGAGCAGCTGGTGGTATTCAAACCATGTGCCTCCTGTATTGCAGTGCAGCTTCTTGCCACTAGGCCACCAAAACTCCCTTTTTCGGCTTGGTAGAGGGAGCAAAAAAGAGAGTAAGGCTCTTCAAAAAGTGGATAAATACAGTGGCTGCAACAATGTACTCAAACAGTTTGAGACTGTAAAAGTGGCAAAGAACCAGGCTGTGTTTTGTTCTCATGTATATAGGATCCCTATCTATGGGTCAGAATTGACGCAACAGCATCAAAGGACAAGAGCATTTGATGGCTGTGAGGATCAAATGAATATTCAGTATGCAGGTGTCAATAATTGTAATTACTATTTTCATTAATACACATATTTCTTCTGGTGATTTTTTTAAATTCCAATAAAAATTTCTGACAATGAGCTATTATTTTCTATTATCAATGGTTTAATTTTATTGGGATGTAATTCACATGGTTTAACATTCACCTTTTTAAAGTACACAATTCAATGGTTTTTATTATAGTTCTAGAGTTGTGTAACAATCACTACTACTCAGTTCCAGAATATTTCCATCAGTTCAATGGGCTTTCTTAATTGGCTGGTATAACCATTTATAATCCAAGATGAAAAGGAACGAAAGTCCCATCCAACACTTAATACTGATAATGAATGCATTCATTAAAACGAAGAGCTCTTAGGTAAACCGATGTTTTACCTAAAATTTATGTGATATAATGCATCCATTTTAATCTTATTTAAGTACTCAAATATACTTTGCAGTATAGGACAGTGTTCTGTTCTATATAGTCAAAGCCGACTCTATGGCACCTAACAAATACTCAACAAAAACAGAAAACCTAAAAATTTTATGTACCTCTCCTTATATATATCTTCATGTATTCCGCCCTCCCCCCCGCTAGAAATGAATGTTTATGACAGAAATAAATGTTGAAAATCATATAAAATGCACGGAGTAAAACAAAAACCACTCGATTTCTTTTTAGCACATGATGGAAAAAAGAAGTAAGAAAGTCTCTTTATTGGTAATTTTCCCATTAAAAGGTTTTCTTGTACTCGCTTTTGTTTAAAAACAAAAACAAAAACAAAAAAACACCAAAAAACAACCCAACAAAAAACCACCAACTTACTTTGGGCGCTCTTACAACACCTAGCTTCTTCCCTATGCTAAATCCGTTTGGAGTTCAGCCTACCAGGGCCACGCCACATTCCTGGACCTTGAATACTCCCCTCTGGGAACAAGCTAGGAACTTTGCTTTCTTTATTGCTGCACCCCGAGCCTTCGCATAAACTTCCACGAGGGGGCGCCCGAGCCTCCACCCACCATGGGACGCGCGGCGCCTTGAGCGTGTGCCGCTCTGAACGCGGCCTCGGCGGTCTGTTGAACTCCAGCAAAGCCATCTCGGGTCGGCTTCCCTTAGTAAATAAAATCTAAGGATCTGTAAACTCGGACATTCACTCTTTATTTATATTTCACACGCCAAACTTTTTTCACACGCTACAGTTTCTTTAAAAAAATACACCAAAACACCAACTCCCCGCCCCAACACTACCGGAAAAGGAAATGGCTTCTCCCACGGCAGGGTAAGCGTTGGATTGCGTCACTCTAGGGCTGCCCTGGACACTGCCTGAGCAAATATGCGACAGATCTGAGATTAGTAGCCCCGGAACTTGGCACTGTGCTTTCTAGTAAACTAGCCGTCACGGAAGGAACCTAAGCAGAAAGAAGTGCAAGTAGTGAGGAACTTGCCGCAGCTGCCGCCCGCCTTCCCTAGACTTGTGCACTCCTCTGTCTTCCCGCCTCCACGTCCCCGCCCCCTAGCAGAGGGCTTGCGTTGGGTCAGGCGGCCGCCGGGGCCACTTCCTTCCTTTCTGAGCAAGATGGCTGGGGGTGAGGTTGGTGTGACTCTCGGGCAACCGCATCTTTCTCGTCAGGATCTCACCACTTTGGTAAGATTACTGTTTGACAGGACGTAGAATGAGCTTCGAAGTGGGGTGCTCGGGCCTCCTGGGAGGCGTTGGGAGGGTACAGTGCCGAGCTATCAGGAGCCTGGGTTAAGGGTTAGTGCCGCGCGCGTGCCGCCGCCACCTGAACCAGTCTCAGTACTGGCTGTGTCAGTTTGTAGGAGTTCCGTCTCCTCATGGATGAGCCTGGAAGATCACGGTGTAAAATATTAAGGTTTTGATCTTTGAAATTCTGGGAAAGGAGTATTCTCAGTGCCTTATCTCCCAAAGTAGGGACTTCTTAGAGTGGAGGTGTAGTGTTTTGTTTTGTAACGTTTAGGGTCTCTGGGGACATCGGAGTGCCCATCGTGAGTGCATCGGGAAAGCACTTTAGAGAGCTGTACTGGGGGTGGTGCGATATATGGTTCGCAGACAGAGTCCTGTGTTTTCTTACACAATGGTTTAAAAGAAAATGTTATATTTTATTGCAGGATGTTACCAAATTGACCCCCTTATCACACGAAATCATCAGTAGACAAGCCACAATTAATATAGGTAAGAAAATTTTGGAATATTAAATTATTTGATCACCGTAAATAAATAAAACTTTCTTTTTGCAGGTAACTGAATTTTAGGAGGATTCAGATAGACGAGAAGCAGTTATTGAACCCTCAAGAGCAAAACATTTCCTAGATTTCTTGACATAAATGTCTAGCTTGCAAACTAGGTGTGAAGGACAGATGTAGACATGGAAAGTTCAATGATGTAGTCATGTAGTAGAAGATTAAAGAAGAAATGGAACACGACTGCACAGGATCATAAAAGCACTTTGTGAAAGTCTTTATTTTCTGTATAAGTTGTTATTAAATAGTTTGGTGTTTGTGGGGGGTTCCCTAATTAGCACCCTTAGAAGTTTAGAGAAGTTATGTTGACTGTGTAAATTTTGGATACTGGAGAGTCTGTACAAACATAGTAAAGCCTAGTTAAAAGTTAAAGAGTCTGCCATGAGGCCTTTAAAACGTTGTTTAGTAATGAGCTACCCTTGACAACATGACTAATTAAACTGGAGTGATTTCTTATTTTCAAAAATTCTTTTCTGTTGTGTCAAGGCTTTTCCTACCTATTTGCCTCACTCTGGATGGATAGGCTCGAAAATTTCTTGACAGACTTCATACTTACTAAGAGTAGTTCCTCTCAATGAAAGCAGTCCTTTTTATGTGTAATATTGTGTGATGAATAGTAATTACTACTCACCCTCCTCTCTAAGGTTCTTCAATTTTTTTTTTTTGGTAGATGAGAGTATACACCGCAAAACATACACCAATTTAAGTTTCTACAAAATAGTTTCGTGACATTGGTTGTGTTCTTGAAGTTATAAAGCCATTCTCACCTTCCTTTTATGAGCTGCTCCTCCTCCACTAACAAACTCAGCTGCCCTTCAAGATTCCTTTCGAGTTTCTGTCATCACTTTGATGCCACATAGATAGTTTTAGAAAGGATAGTGCTTGAGGCAGACTTTTTTTACTAGTTTCACTAAACTAGTAGGATTGGACTTCATGGGATGTTTCTAGATTATCTCAGAGGAGTAGTTTCAGGCATTCATCCCACCTCTGTGGCTCCACAAAGTCTAGAATCCGTGAGAATTTGAAAATCTCTTCTGCATTTTTCCCATTTTGATAAAATTTTTCCATAGACTTTTTGATCAGAATGTTCAATAATGATAGCCAGGCATCTTTCTATTCTTTTATTTTTGAACTTCCAGTCCTCTTTTTCTCTTGGCAGATAGAGACCATTGGCTGTGGCTTATATGGCTACGTGCAAGCTTTTAAGATCCTAGGTACTGGGGGAGCTCTGGTGGCCTAGAGGCAAGAAGCTGCACTGCAATCCCAGAGATACACGGTTCAAATCCACCACTTGCTCTGCCGGAGAAGGAGGAACAATATCCTCTTGTACCAGTCAGATCTGATTTGACGGTACACGCACACAAAATAATAATAAATAAAAAAAATAAAAAAAAAAAAAAGATCCTAGGTACTGCGCAATAATCTGAGAGATAAAATAGAAGCAGTCAAGATGTTATTAGACCAATTAACTGAATGTCACATGAGTCCATGACTTTAAACCTCCAGGCCAAGGAACCAAACCTCTCACGTGTTTGTACATAGATGGTCTCACTCCTCATGTGGGATATAAATGTATTTACTGGTGTTCAGCTTAGAGCTATTATAGTAATCTGTGTAGTGTGCCTTTATAGTCAGTGCAGTATTTCTGCTGCCTTTTAATCTGTGCAGTATTTCTATCACCATTAATCCCCCACTTGACCCTTCTCTCCTTCACTTGTTGTTATGGGCTGTTGAGTTGGAACCAACTCATGGCTGAGCCTCCAGTGGGATTTTAGAGGCTTTAAAAATTACACATCTTCATTGGAGGGGCTGGTGGATTTGAACCACCTGCCTTTTTTGTTGGCAGCACAACTTCTTAAAACTGAGCCACCAGAGCTTCGTTCTTCCCCTAGTAACCACTAATAAAATTTGTTCTCTATATGAGTGAGGAGGCCTTGTGATATTTTGTTATTGACATATTACACTCAGTTCTGTGGTCAAGTTCCACCCATATTATGTTGTTAGGTGCTGTCGAGTACAACTCATATGGACCCTATGAACAAAAGATCTGAACCCTGTTCTATAACTGTCATCGTTCCTCTAGTGTGTCATGGAGTTTCCAAAAGCCTGTTATTTAAGAAGTGGATACCAATCCTGCTTCCAAATCTGTCTTAATCAAGGAGCCCTACCAAACTCTGTCGACCATGGGTAGCTCTTACAGCATTTGACACAATAGTGGCACAGGTTTCAGTCTCACAGCAACCTCAAGTTATCTCCGTACAGACTACTGAAAAACAAGTACTGTACAACTTTGAACAGTGTTCTCCCCCCATATTATGTAGCATACATATATTAAAACTTTATTTTTTCTGTTGGTTGAAGAGTATATCATTATATGCCTCTACCGCATTTTTTCTCATTTATCTGTTGATGGATACTTGTGTTTCTACCTTTGGGCTTTTGTGAATAGTGCTGCAGTTAACATTGGTATACAATTCTATTAGAGTCTCTGCTTTCAAGCTTTTTAGCTGTATATATTTCTAAACAAGTTGTCAGTTATATGGAAAAGTTCTCCCTAGTCCTCTGTTAGATCAAATTTTTTAATACAAAAGTTATATTGTAGGGAAAATTGTTGCTTTTATATTCTTAGTTATTATGTAAATTGTGACTTTGGTTTGCTACTCTAACACTCTTGAAGAACTCTCTGATGTAATTGAATGCACATGAATTACTTTATTTTTCTTTGCCTATAGGTACAATTGGTCACGTAGCTCATGGGAAATCTACAGTGGTAAAAGCTATTTCTGGAGTTCACACCGTCAGGTTCAAAAATGAACTGGAAAGAAATATTACAATTAAACTTGGATACGCTAATGCCAAGGCGAGTTGTCTATTGTGGAAGTAGAAACTGTTTAAATTCATGTTGTTGAATGTGCAGTCAACAAATCTATAATTTTTTTCATTGAATCTTTTAGATTTATAAACTTGATGACCCAAGTTGTCCTCGCCCAGAATGTTACCGATCCTGTGGAAGTAGTACACCTGATGAGTTTCCTACAGACATTCCAGGGACCAAAGGGAACTTCAAATTAGTCAGGTAATCTCCTTTTGTGCCTCATGCTGTACAGACTCTACTTTTTACATATATTGTCTTATATATTTTGAGATGTTTGACTGAAATCCCAATTGCAGAATGCCTTTGCTATTTTCCAAATTTTTTTATTGCCTGTAATGGAGCTCTAGTGGTTTAGTGGTAAGGAATTACACTACCAACCCAAATGCAGGCAGTTCAAATCCACCAACTGCCCTGTGGGGAAAAGATGGGCAGTCTCTTCCCATGGGACTTAAAGTCCCTGACAGTTCACTGCAGGGTCAGCCATGAGTCAGTTCTGTTTTAGTGGTACACAATCCCAACTTCAGTCATAATTTGACGAGCCAAGCATTTCAGATTGGGACCCCCTTTAAATTTTGCACTTGAAATGTTGCCTCTTTTGCTTCACCCTAGTCCTAGCCATGATCAGAGATTAGCAAACTTTTTCTTTAAAATGCGAGATAATATTTTTCGCTTTGCAGGCCAGAGTCTCTGTTGCACCTACTTAACTCTGCCTTTGGACAGATAATAATGCTGCTTATGGCAACGTCAGCTTCTTAAACATCCGTGTCCCAGAACACCAAGCTATCTGAATGCCATAAAGCCATAGCCCTACTCCTGTCTGGCTGCTTTATGTGTTGCCCAGCCCCCAGATAGTAACAATTTTGTGTGAATTCTGCCATCTTATTAGAGTAATGCGGACATCTGTTTTACCTGGGTGGTTTTAGGTTTTCAGGGTGCTGGAGCTACTGCTCTCAACTGGTAATCTTTTTCCTAAAAGATCAGTTTCAGGGCATGTATAACTTTACATTTAAGTCTGGATTTTAAGGTTGACAGTTGTTTCTCAATTTGTAGGCATGTTTCCTTTGTTGACTGTCCTGGCCACGATATTCTGATGGCTACTATGCTGAACGGTGCAGCAGTGATGGACGCAGCTCTTCTGCTGATAGGTAAACAATACCAGAATTGATTTTGACTAACCAGTGTGGAGCAAATCCAAGATGAACTGTTCCTTAAGGGCCATGTTCTTTGCCTCTTGAGGATGACATGAATGGAAACTAACATGTCATTTAGGAAGACATCTTGGCCTGCCAGCTTTCACAAAGTACTAAACAAGACGGGTTGGGGCTGATGTCTTAAGAGAAAGTTTATAGTAATAATAACAGTTGTTCTCTTTATCCCTCTTAAAAAAAGCAGTGGATTTTTTATCATTGAAATCATATGAAGTGATTTGTTATTTTAGTTTTCAACTTACATGTCAGAGTATGTGGTGTTTCAATTGTTTTGTTTCTGGACGGAGGATCATCTACCGCCCATTGACTTGGACTGGTTGTATTTAGATGCAAGTAGTCACATGAAGTGCAAAAGTCTAGCCTCGGGTGGGGATTTTCAGGGCTAGGGTTGTGCTTCCTTTTGTGGGCTGAGATTTCATTGCTACGAGATGAATTCTTCCATGAGCTTGCCAAACAAGTGTAGTACAAGGAACCTGCACAACTCAACTAGGGGACTATCACTTTTGGGGGGCTGGACAAAGTATGCATATTTCTGATAAAATACTGTGTTGGCTGTCATCACAGGTAGTAACGAGGAGGAGTCCCTGGTATTTAATTATAATTTGTAGACTTTTAAGTGTCTGCCTCTTCTAAGTATGCTCAGGAACCTGTCTGGACCAGAACAGCTCTAAAACTGGATAGAGCTGGGGAGCTAAACCTTACACATAAACAATAACAGACCCTGACAAGAAAACAATTTCCTAAGTCTGCGCTTCTTCTAGCTTAGGACCACGAATGGGAGTCAAAAGAGAAATGATCCACTGTATTCAAGAACCGGGCATGAAGCGGTGGCAAGAGGTGGACAGCTGGTAGTGATACAGTGCTCGCCAAGATTTCTCCCTTTAAGAGGGCTGGGGCATCCAGTGATCAACTTCTTAGGGGCCAGCTAATTTTTGTTATGGCTGTGATTGTGGTGCTAAAATACAGTTAGCATAAAATGTACCATTTTAACTGTGAGCATGTGTAATGGTGTTAAATACATTTAGAACATTATGCAATCATTTATGCTATCTATTAACAGTCACCCATTTTTCCCTCAGCCACCAGCAACCTGTCATCTGCTTTCTGTCTTTTAAGTATTTGCCTATTTCAAATAGTTTCAGTTAATTATTATATGTCATTTTTTTATTCTTCTCATCTAGCTGGTAATGAATCTTGTCCTCAACCTCAGACTTCCGAACACTTGGCTGCTATAGAAATCATGAAATTGAAGCATGTTTTGATTCTACAAAATAAGATTGATTTGGTAAAAGAAAGTCAGGCTAAAGAACAGTATGAGCAGATCCTTGCATTTGTCCAAGGTAAGAAGCTGTAATATCTTAATAAACCTGTGGATCGATTTGTTGTTAGTTGACAACAAGTTGACTACAACTCATAGAATTACTTTGAGAGACCTACAATTTGTTGTTAAGTATCCTTGCATCCTTTTTTAACTCATAGAGACCCCATGTGATAAGATCTAATTGCCCCATGTGATATGCTAGACTGTAATCTTGCAGAAACAAATTGCTCTTTTTTCCATTGGAGTTACTGGATGTGTTCCAACTACCCACCTTTTGGTTAGCAGCCAGCTATTTAATTAGTGTTCCTGCAGGCCTTTGTTAATCCATATATAGCAAGTTCATTTTTTGGTACTAATTTAAAAAAAAAATTAAAGCATATTTTTTTGCATTTATTCATTGTTGCACAAGCAAGTTCATTTGTCATGTAAACTTACAGATCTTAAGCTTTATTTTTCTACTGCTTTTGTTGTATGAGAACCACTTGTGTACAAAGTAGAAATGTCCCGTACACTTGGTTGGTTCTCCCCATATGTTTTGTTGTTGCTGTAAGAGTATACACCAAATCAGCACTTTCTCCATGTACAATTTCATGATAGTGTTCAAGCTCTGCCTCCCCCATATGCCCTTTCCAAGCCAAATTCCTAAGCCTGTCTTCTGAGTAGCCTCTAGCCGGCTTTGAGCCACCAATCTTTTGGCCAGTAGTTGGATGTTGGATGTTTAACCATTGGCACCACCTATGTGACTCACTGAGCTCTGGTGGCCTAGTGGATATGGACTTGTGCTGCCAGCTCAAAGGTAAAACAGTTCAGATCTGCCAGCTACTTCACAGGATGAGCAGTCTCCTATGTGATATACAGCCTCTGGATACCCATTGTAGTGTCAACTGTGAATTGGTTCTGACTCTGGCCATGTGTTAATGTTGACTCATTACTTACTAGTCACCTGATACAAATGGTAAAATCTATGTTTCTAGATTTGCTATACCATAGTACATTTTTGCTGACTGAAAGCCACAATTGAAGTTATCATCTGAAAACTTGGAGTCAGATTTTTAAAAAAGAAAATCTTCTAAAGATAATAAAAATGAAGAAAGCACTTTTATAATGATCAACCTGACACTTGTGTGTTTGTGGGTTTTTTCCCAATTTTACTTATTTTGTTGTTGAGAATGTACACTTCAGAACATAACCATTTAGCTGTTTTTACACATATCATTTAGTTTCTACATGTACATTGATTCTTCCAGTTGTACAACCATTCTCTCCTTAATGAGGCATTTGTTCCTTGCTTCATTAGTGTAAACTTCCTGAGAACTAAGGTTCTGAGCTGACTTTATAATTTGCGTTGTCAGTGTGATTCCAGTAAATAGGTTTTTACAGGAGCCTAATGCCCAACTTATACATTCTTTTTCTTTTTTTTTTTTAACCTTTTTAAATATTTTTATCATACACATACATTGTTCTTTCCCCCCCTCATATATTATGTTTTATACAATCCTTTTTTTTTCTTCATTATTATTTTCTCATTCATATTTGTATTTGAATGGATTTCTGGACCCACATTGGACTTATTGTAAATTTTTTTTTTATTCTTAACAACAGTTTACAGAAAGATTGGGTTTTCATTCATTATTGCACTTTTCCTTCCTCCCCCAGTCCATTTTGCAGTGTTCCAGATTGTAGTCCTATATGTATTCCTTTCAGACAGTTAATCCCCTCTTCTGTTCCAATGCACTGTTTATTATCTATCCCCTCTTTTCCTAATCTTCCTCCAACTCCCCATGTCAATCCTATTGTTTGAGGGTTTTTCCCTTGTTGTGTACCATCCAGTCGAATCTAACTGGCACAGGAGGAGATTGCCCCTCCTTCTCCAGCAGAGAGCTGGTGATTTGAACCATGCTTCTTTGGGATTGCAGTACAGCTTCTTGCCACTAGGCCACCAGAGCTCCCTTTGGCCCTGTTTTTAGTAGTGGTTCATTGTGGGGTTTGTTTTTTTCCTCCCAGTATTTGTCATTTTGTGACTAAGATATTTCACTCTCTGTACTGTCTTCCAGGCTAACCCATGTTGTATAGTGTTTTACGAGATACTTGTTTTCCAGTGCTGTATAGTATTCCATTGTGTGGCTATAACACATTTTTTCTATCCATTTCTTTGTTGATGGGTACTTGGGTTGCGTCCATCTCTTTGCTATTGTGAATAATAGCAATAAACATGGTTGTGCATACGTTTGAGTTGTGGCTCTGGTAGTGAAATTTTTTTGTCAAATGATGTTTCTACTTCGAACTATGAGAAAGCACCAACTGTCTTCCATAATGGTTGTTACATTTTACATTCCCACTAGCAGCGATTAAGAGTTCTAGTCTCGCCACACCCTTGCCAGCATTTGTTGTAAGGCATTCTTAATGATTAAATTATAAATTGGTTTTTTTAAGAAGACATCAGGGGATATTTTTGGTTTAAGGTTTAAAGATTATCTCCTACCATGAGAATTCTGGCCTCAAGTGCTCTAGGAAGTCTAGAGCCCATGAGAATATAAAAATCTGTTATACATTTCCTCTTCTTTGAATCAGGATTTTTTGATAGAATCTTTGATGTTCAGTTATGGTATCACGGCAGCTTTTATTTCTTCTGGTCTAATGACGAAGCAGTTGTTCATGGAATTATTTAGCCTCATTTGACCCTTTCCTCTTTCACTCCAGGTGTGTAAGGACCACTTATTGTGCTTCAGATGACCAGACAGTATTTATTTCTCAATAGTAGCTATTTCCAGGACTGAAACTAACAAGGATTTATTTAATCTTTTTTTTTCTTTAATGTTTATATTGTGCTTTGACATCGTGGTGCTTTTTCATTAGGAGAAAGACATGTGTCTTATCTTGACACTTGATTATCTTGGTCTTATTTTTCTTCATAGGAAGACTAACTTCCTCTGAATCTAGCTGTATCTTAAAAAGAATTAGGCCTTTTGATAAAAATTGTAGGCTGGGTCTATTTCTTGACTAGTCTGTTTGACTTATAATTAAAAAGCAAATACTTGTGGTAGGAGTATTTGATTAGTAGAGAGTGTATATGTATATATTTTGCATATATTTTTTTAATTGTGGTTTGAGTGAAAGTTTATACTGCAAATTGATAGTCCATTTAAACTTTCGTTCCTGTTTTGTTTTATGACATTGATTATAACCCCCACATTGTATCATTGCTTTTCCCACTATCTGTGTGGTTCTTATTTCCATTCATCTTCCATCCTCTCCCTTCCTGCCATCTGAGTTTTGTCCTTGGGTAAATGTTGCCCTTGTAACGCTATGTTATTGATTGATTGGTCTCACTGCTGAGTTACCTCCCTGGTAATTTTCACTTTGTAAATCTGTTTCTTGTTTGGCTACAAAATATGCCAAAAGAGTGCGTTTCATTCCAGGCTCAACAAGCGGTTGAGCCATAGTTTGGGAGTTCCACCAGTCTCCATCAGACCAGTAAGCATGGCCATTTTTGTATTTTGAAGTTTGTTCTACACATTTGTCTCCCACTCTATCCAGTATTTAGGGGGGATCTGGTGGTTTTGCTAACCCAAATATTCTAAACCACCAGTGGCTCTAAAGGAGAAACATAGGTAATCACCCATGTGATTAACAGCCTCTGAAAACCCAGTGCAGGGTCAATTAGAAATCAGTTAAAACTCAGTGACAAGGAGATTTTTTTTTTAATACCCAATCCTTAATTTTATCTTGTAGTTTATTGAGATGTTAATTACATGTTACTAGTAATCTCCAACCAATAAAGTACTCTTTCCCAGGAGTGCTAGTATTTTTAAACGGTTTTACCATTTTATTATTAAATGTTTATTATTAGAATATTTGAAAATGTTTCCTTAAGGAGGATAGTAGTTTAAAGAGTAAAAAAGGAAATAAACAGTGTTGGCATCTTTCTAAACAGAATTATCACTTTCTGTTCCTTTTTGTATGGGATATTCAGTAATCTTTTTCCCCCATAATCTGGTGGTGAGATATCCAATCAGACATACATATGTTCAGTGACATTGGTTACATGCATCACAATTTATTAATAATCTTTGCGGATACTGTTACATCACTGTTAATTTAGACTTTCAGTGTTCTCATCTGTACCCTAGAAGTACTGTTGTCAGTTTGTATTTATTTAGATAGTTTTTTATAAGATTGTAATGTTCAAGACAAGTATTCTCTGTTTATTAAGCCAAATGTTGCCCAATGCAAAGGGGACATGACATTAAAATGAGAACCTAATGTGCTTTATAAGTTTTTACTTAGAATACAGTAAGATATTCCCTCAAAATAAGCTCAGGAAATAAAGAATAAGCAATAATTTAAGAAAATTTGAAAATAACAAGGTACAACATTTCTAACTGAAAATAGATTTACTGAAAATCTTGATGTATTTTTTTCCAAAGGAAATTCTAAATAATGTGCATTAGATATTAGATATATGAGATGAAAGAATAAGGTTTATTTAAATGGATAAGTTTAAATGGGCTTTAAATTTGGGAAAAAGAAAAATATCTGGTGAGGTATAAAAAGATTGAGAGAAATATATAGAGGACTCTTACAGTCTTAACAGTTGTTTTATGTCACAGAATTGGAGAATGGGTTTTGTAAAATGCAAGAATTTTCGTGTCTGTGAATTTTGTTGTACAGGTACAGTGGCAGAAGGTGCTCCTATTATCCCAATTTCTGCTCAGCTTAAGTACAATATTGAAGTTGTCTGTGAGTACATAGTGAAAAAAATTCCAGTACCACTAAGAGACTTTACTTCAGAACCTCGACTTATTGGTAAGTGATAAGATTTTATCGTTTCTACTTGATAATTCTCCTGTAAGGGGTTTGCTGTTTTTTTCTCTGCCAGGGATGATATAAATCACAATCTCTATAATTTTTTCCCCCATTTTAACAAAGGAAATGAGTTTATGAAATCTAAGGGCTATAGTTTATTTTAAACTTGAGAGTAAAAGTACAATTTATACATAAATTGAAGTAGATGGGTTCCAAGATTGTGCTGGCAGTGCCGAATTATATTATTGGACCAAGGAAAGGGTCCTGAGATATAGTAGGAAGACGTTGTTAACATTTTTATGTGATCAAGATTTAGTAAATTAATATTTTCATTTGTCAACAAGATAGTAGAACAAATTAGAATCCAAATTTTTTCAATTAGCAAAGAGTTTAATGTGTCTTTCACTTTAGTATAAGCTTTTACAGTACCATTATTGATAGGCTTTGATTATTTGTGTGGTTGCTACTTAGGGATGCACAATTCTTTTTAAAAAAGGTATTGAGCCCCTCTTGTATTTTATGGAGAATGTTCTCTTGTAGGGGGAGTTTGTGATGTGTACCCCTTGTTAAAGATCACTGTTCTGACCACCTGAGTGCAGGTGGTTGTTGTGTGCCATGGAGTCAGACCCCATCCATAGCTGACCCTCCAGTACGTTTTCAGAGGTAGTAAAGCACACGGGAGGAGAAGCTGTTAGATTCCCAATGCATACCTGTGGGATTTAATACTAGGCCATTAGAGTGCCCTATGTAGTCTTAAAGTTGTTTTGTTGGTTTAAAACTAAATTTTTATTAGAGAAGACATAAACTATAGAGGTATATGAAGACAGTTTCTCCCAGCCTCCAATTCCTGGCCCCTCAGCTCAATAATAACTAGAGTTGACTATTGGTGTGTATATTCCCACACTTCTTTTTGCTTGTGCCATTCTGTGTAAATATACAAGCTACAAGCATTTACGGCTTTTTTCATTTTCTTCTTTATGGAAGTAGGATCACACGGTTGATAACATTTTTTTTTATAACTGTTTTTGTAACCAGCTTTTCCCTCCCCTCTTTCCCCCCTTAGCAATATTTGAGGGTCATTCTTCTAGTTTGGTACCTATATCTGTCTTTTTTTTTTTAACAGCTATGATATTCTTTAATGTGGTTGTATCATTGTATACCACTTATTAATGAAATTTTCCATTGTTTCAGTTTTTCTCTGTTGTGAGTAATCCTGCAATAAACATTGGAGTAATAATTAATACTAGATTTGTTGCACAGTTATCCATTTGGTATAAATATTAGTTAAAATTTTAAAAAGTTTAACTTGGGAAAGTTAAAATTCACAGGATTAACTATAATTTTTTAAATTTTTTTTCTTTAAGTAATTAGATCCTTTGATGTCAACAAGCCTGGCTGTGAGGTTGATGACCTCAAGGGCGGGGTTGCTGGCGGTAGTATTCTAAAAGGAGTGTTAAAGGTAAGCACAATTTTTAATTTTTTTTTTCTTAATGTTGGTCAGGAAAAAATAATGAGAATCCCAAACTGAAAAACAATTTTTTTTAAATGTATCATTAATTTCAATGAAAATTTACAGAGACTTTGGGTTTCCATTCATTCATTGTTGCACTTTTCTCCCCTCCATTCCTTCCTCCCTCCCCCCCAGTTCACTCTTCTCTTTGAAAAGTAAAAGAAAAATTCTTTCATTGTTTTACAATCCCTTCCTCCAGGTCCATTCCACTATGCTCTGGGCTCCTGTCATGACAAAAATACCTAATCACATATCCCTTTTAAACAGTTTTCTCCCTCATCTGTTTCAATGCAGTATACATTATTGAACCCAGCTTTCTCAGTCTCCCCCCAACCCCGAGGTCAGTCCTGTTTTACAACAGTGGTGCCACGCAGTATTTGTCCTTTTGTGACTGAGATACTTCACTCAGCATGATGTCCTCCAGAGTCACCCATTTTGAATAATAATATTGCATGAGTTCCTTGTCTTTCAGTGCAGCATAGTATACCACAGCTTCTCAGTCCATTCATTTGTTGATGGGCACTTAGGTTGTTTGCAACTCCTTGCTATTGTGAACAAAGCCACAATAAACATGGGTGTGCATATATCTGCTTGGATGTCTATTATGGTCTCTTTGGGGTATATTCCCAGTAGTGGAATTGCTGGGTCAAATGGTATCTGTATTTGCAACTTTTTGAGAAAGCGCCATACTGCTTTCCATAGTGGTTGCACCAAGAAAATATTTTTTCATAGTTTCTAGTACTTGATGGACATTTTTTTTTTCGGGGGGTGGGTGTGCGTGCGCCATCAAATCTGACTGGTACAGGAGAGTGAGGTGGTTCAGGTTTCATAGATCTTCTGTCTTTTCCGGCCTGCCTCCATCCTTTAGTAGTGATCTTTGAAATAATGCTTTCTTTTTTCAGATTCATAGTTTTTCTGCTAGGACTCTTGAAGTGTGCATGGTGTTTGTGTTTTCCAAATGCTTCTGATTAACTTATTTATATTTTTACAGGTGGGCCAGGAGATAGAAGTCAGACCTGGTATTGTTTCCAAAGATAGTGAAGGGAAACTCATGTGTAAGCCAATCTTTTCCAAAATTGTGTCACTATTTGCAGAACATAATGATCTTCAGTATGCTGCTCCAGGGGGTCTTATTGGTAAGAATTTTGCTGTCATTTCTCCAATTCTTATTGGTAGACATTAATGATATATTTGATGGAAAATGGATTACCCAAAAAAGAAAAATTAACTGTGACATCTTAATTGGACATTTTAATGCTCGAATAGGCATGGTTATACATTCTTTGGCTAAAGCTGTTTTTCAGGTCATAATATGGTTTCATATGTTTATAAAAATTATTCTGGTGATTTAAAAAATTATGAAATATTATACAACAAAGAGTTTCTCATTTCATCCATTGTTAGAGGTACAATTCAGTAATATTATATACTGTTTAATTCACAACTGCTTCTAGCACCACTGTTTGTATCCAGATTTTCCACCACCACCAAAACATTAAAATACCCATTGATATGGAAATCCAAAATCTCTGTAAATGTTCGTTAAAATTACTAAAATAAAAAAAAAAACTGAAAAGAAAAAACAAGGACAAAGTGGACAAGGATGAATTTGACCTCTGTTAACTCCACAAAGGGTAACTGTTCTGATCAACATCATCCAACATATAAAACTGACTTCTATTAAGGTCAGACATGATCTACTCTGCTACACCTACTTGCACTAATTAATGGATCTAGTATTCACCACAAATGACCACACAGTTTTACAAAACCTCATTTTTCTCACAGTTGTGGTGTTTATTAAGGGAATAGGTTGAGGGTAGGGAACGCAAAAGATACCAAACAATGAAGTCCAGATTCAGTCAACAATAGTCTGAACTCAGGTTAATAGACACATCTCTTCTTCTATTTAGGATTGCTTGTCAGTGAACCTGAAGATATATTTTCTTAATTAATCTAAGAATAAATAATTCTGGTGTAAAAAAAAAACAAACCCATTGCTGTCCAGTTGCATCTGACTCATAGCTGATCTTCCTTTGGGTTTCCAAAGCTGTAAATTAACATGAGGGGAGGGGAAATTTCTCATCTTTCTGCCTTGGAGCTGCTGGTAGATTTGAACCTCTAGAGAGGTGTGTCCTTTGGGTCAGCAACACAGTTCTCTATAGACCGCCCTACCAGAACTCTATCCTAATGTAATACTCTTTAAAGAAGAATATGTTTTGAGTTTGGCATAAAAACTAAGATTGACGTGGTAAATAGTTGACTGCTAACTAAGAGGCTGGCAGTTTGACTCCACCCAGTCACTCGGACTTGGAAGGAGAAAGATGTGACAGTGTGCTTATGTAAAGATTTACATCGTTGGAAACAGGCAGTTTTGCTCAATCCTAAACTCACTATGAATCAGAGTCAACTTGAAGGTAGTGGGTTTATTTTGGAGGAGTTTTTCTTAGTGTATTACCACATGTCCAGGAAAAAGCAGGCTCAGTGAGAATTAGTCAGAGGTTATGCATCTTTTAATTAAAGGAGAAACTTTAATGAAGTTTATGTTTTGACTCTGATTTGGCCTATATGTTCATTTTTTCCATTACATCTTGAAAATAAAGTTTAAAAAAAAAAGTTTATTTTTTGCTTTTTTTTGTGAACAAGTAAACTTGGTTTTTAAATGATGCAACCTTTTTAATTATGAAGTTTTTGCAACATTGAAATACAGATGATAGGATTGTAATAAACGCCATATTGCTACCACTAACTTCAACAAATAATTCACCAAGCTTGCTTTATCTACATATCTCATCAAAGATCCATAACTAAATTGTTTTGAAATGGATTCTAGGAATCTTATAAAGTTTTTTGGACAGTATCACTTTGCTTGATACCATTTTAAGGAAGAAATGACAAACAGATGTTATGCACATTACTTGGGAATTCTGTACATTTTCAACTTAACTGAGGGTATTCAGACTCTTGGTTTTGAGTTGGACTGGTATCTCTTTTTTTTTTGTGTGTTTAGAAATTTAATTTATTCCCATGATGGAGCGGAAGGAGGAAATGGGGCTAGAACCTGGTCTGCCCCTGCCCTCTCGCCTCAGAGACGGAAGCGTCTGGGTGGGTGGTCTAGCCAAGGTCTCACCAGGCCCAGGAGAGCTCCCAGGCAGGAGGCCTGTTGAGGTGAACAGCAGCCTGGACTGGTATCTCTTGTTACTCTTATTTTATTTAAAACAAATGAATCCTGCTCACAGTTGCCTGCCCAGCCAACTTGTAATTCTTTTTCTTCCAATAAAACAGAATTGTTGTGGTTTCACAAGTTTTTTATGTAGTTGGTTAGAGGCATATGGAAATTTCAGTGTATTGAAGTATATAGATATGTGCTAGATTTGGGGCTAAACAACTAACCTTACAGATATTTTAAGAAGTAGTTACATATATATATCTATATATATTCTTCTTTCTATTAGGAGTTGGAACCAAAATTGACCCCACTTTGTGCAGAGCTGACAGAATGGTGGGGCAGGTACTTGGTGCCGTGGGAGCTTTACCTGAGATCTTCACAGAATTGGAAATTTCCTATTTCCTACTTAGACGACTTCTAGGTGTACGCACTGAAGGAGATAAGAAAGCAGCAAAGGTAAATATTTTTTTTTTAATTTTGTTTGAAAAAGGGCATAAAGATATTAAACTAGCTTTGAGTTTTGTTCATTTATAGTTAACATACTTGGACCAAGAGGCAGTCGTCAGAACAGAGCAGGGAGACATTGGATGGTTCAAAATCAAGAAAGGGGTCCATCAGGGATATATTTTGTCTCCATACCTTTTTAGTCTATATGAAGAACAGATCATCCGAGATGCTGGGTTGTATGAAGAGGAATGTGGCATCAGGATTGGTGGAAGAATCATCAACAACCTGCGTTATGCAGATGACACAACCCTGCTCGCTGAAACTGAGGAGGACCTGGAGAGAAGGTCAAGGACTGCAGTCTTCAATATGGATTCAAGCTCAGCATCAAGAAAACAAAGATTCTCACCACTGGGCCAATTGGCAACATCAGTATGGATGGTCAAGAGATTGAGATAGTTAACAGTTTTCGTTTACTTGGTTCGACAGTCAATACTCTTGGTAACAGACCCCAGGAAATCAGGAGACGAATTGCATTGGGAAAGTCAGCTGTGAGGGACCTCTCAAGAATACTGAAGAGCAGTGACATCAGGCTGGAGACTAAGGTACCCCTGATCCAGGCTACAGTCTTCGCAATTACGTGCCATGCATCGGAGAGTTGGACAGTGAATAGGGATGATAGAGAATTGATGCCTTTGAGTTGTGGTGCTGGAGAAGAGCGTTGAATATACCATGGACTGCTGGAAGAACAAACAGGTTTGTCCTGGCGAGGGTGAAGCCAGAATGTTCCCTGGAGTCAAGGATTCTGAAGCTTCATCTGACATATTTTGGGCATGTTGCATGGAGGGACGGCACAGGAGAGGAAGACCCTTCATGAGATGGATCGTTTCTGTGAGTGGAGTGGTTGGAATGAGTGTGTTTGAGACGGCGAGTTTGGCACAAGATAGAACGGCGTTTAGGACTCTTGTACATCGGGTTGCTATGAGTTGCAAACGACTCGATAGCACATAACAACAAATATATCTTAGGGACCTCTGGTGGCCTAGTGGCAAGAAGCTAATTGCACGCAATTTGAGGTCACCAGCTCCACGGGAGAAGGATGGGCAATCTCTACCTATTTGATTAACACTCTCTGAAAACCCACCAGAGGGTCAGCTACGGATGGGTTGGCTCTGACTCTTTGGTACACAATAGCAACAATAAGTTTCTGTTTGATAAAGATTTACTGTTCCTGATATATTTGTTACTCTGAAAGACAACTGAGTAAAAATAAGTTGGCAAAGAAAGATGATTGCTGATATTCAGTGTTTGTAAGGATATAGGCAAATAGTAATCAACATCTCTAGCCCAACACTTGTTCCTGTGAGGTGGAAGTCAGATATGCCTCTTGTCCAGATCAGTTTCTACACCAGGTTGCTCCCGTGGCTTTATCTTCTTTGCAATGACCACACAGAGCTCATAGGCGATACTCAATTATTACAATTTTTATTAGAAAAGTAACAGATTATAATTCAGGAATGACTCAGGATACAGTTCTTCAATGTGGACAGGTTCTCAGTACAGGAACTCTGAGTCCAAAGACAGGCTCAAATCTGACTATTTTTTCCCTGAGACAGCGAAATCCCCTCTGCTCTGGAATTGACTTGCTTTTAAGCCTTACAGGATAGCAAAATTGACCAATCCCCTCATCAGAATTCCATGTTCTTTACATGGCCTTGTCAGAAGGGTTCCTGTCCAACAGCTCCTCTGTGGGAGAAAGAAAAGCAGTCTCCTCCCATGCAATTTACTGCCTCTGAAAGGTGCCATGTACCTTACTTGCATTATTATCAAGCTGTCCCCAAGCACCTTATTTGCATAATCTCAATCATTTGGTGAGAATTAGAAGAAAATAGAAGGGTCGTAAAAAGCTATCTCTTGTACCCTATGGTTTAGTTATTTCTCAAAGTATTTGGTAAATATCCATAAGTTGTATTGATTTTGAGACTTGTTTTCTTTTATATCTTTAGGTGCAAAAGTTGTCTAAGAATGAAGTACTCATGGTGAACATAGGATCCCTGTCAACAGGAGGAAGAGTTAGTGCAGTTAAAGCTGATTTGGGCAAAATCGTTTTGACTAATCCTGTGTGCACAGAAGTGGGAGAAAAAATTGCCCTTAGCCGAAGAGTTGAGAAACACTGGCGGTAAGCTTTATTTTGTTGACTTTTGGCCCTGTTCTTGGGGAATATATATACACAAACATAGGCAGTTTTCCTTGAGTGCAGTGGTGTTCTTTGAGTTACCTGTTTGGATGACTTTGAATTCTGTCTCTCTAGCCTGAATCTGTAAGGCTGTAGTCCCATATTTCAGTGCAGATACTGCTATTTCCTGCCATTTATCTCAGTCATGATCTGTGTAAAAGCCAGTAATCCATTTCTTTGACTGTTTAAAAGCTTTTTATTTTGGGATTTTATCAAACCTAATAAAATTGTACCAAAACCCCCTATAAATTCTTTAACCAATTGAAAAAAGACTATCATTAATTTTCTGAACCAGTAAAGCAGTAGATTGCACAGATGCCCCTTGAACTCTTTAATGTTTTCCCAAGAACAAACGATATTTTTCTTTAACCACTTCAGAAAATTTAATAAAATGGCATCTGTGGTCATTCTTTAGTTTTATCACTTGTCATGATAAAGTAGTCGTTAATAGCAGTACTCCGTTAATAGCAGTACTCCGCCTCCAGCCTAAGATCAGGCACTGCTTTTCAGTTTTCATGTCTCATCTCTGACTGGGAACTTCCTCCACCTTTCTTCATCCTTCTTGACATTGACAATTTTGAAGAATACAAGATAATTAGTATATACAGTGTTCCTCAATTTGGAGGCATCTGATGTTTCTTCAGAGTAGATCCAGATTATTTATTCTTGACTGGAATACTTTGGTGTTTAAGTTATTCTCAGAGAATCACATCCAGAGAGAGAGACACCTGTTATCTGATAGTTTGACATTGGTGAAGTTGATTTTGCTCATGCAGCCAAAGCATTGTTTTGTTCTTTGCTATATATTATTTTATTCTTGACACTGTTAAGTGGTCTATAGGGAGATCCCTTTGAGACCATGCAGGTAGTTTGTTTGCTCTTTGTCGTATTCTCCCCTTCTCCTCGCCCCGTTTAGCACCTGTTGGTGAGGGGAGCTCTTGTGGCCTAGTGGGTAAGGAGTTGTGCTGCCAACTCCAAGGCAGGCACTTTGAATTCACCAGCTGCTTTGCCATTCATTTGGTTTACAGCCTCTGAAAACCCACTGGAGGATCAGCTGTGAGTCGGTTTTGACTCAATGGCACATAATAGCAACATGAAGGTTGCTAAATAGTGATTCACAGCTCCTTCCCCACAGCTTCACCATTTCACACTGGTCATTTAGTATTCTCCATTATTTGTTTATTTATCTAATTATAATATAAGGAGCTTTGGTGGCATAATATTAAAGGGAGGTGTGCTGCTAACCCAAAGATAGCACCTCTCTGGTGGTTCAAATCTTCTAGCAGCTCCCAGAAAGGTGGGCAGGTTCCTCCTGAACAAAAATCCCTAAGGATCACTTATGAATCAATTCCAACTCTACAGCCATGAGTGAATGAATTATAACATGGGCTAATAGGATTCTATTTTGTCTAGTAAGTTATGATCTGTTGTCCTTATTTAGTGCTTAAATTATGCAAGATCTGGCCAGTGAACTCTCTTCAAGCTGGTGCCTGTAAACTACAAACATTTCCTTTCTGTCATAAAAAAGTTTCTGATTCATCCATATCGTCTCTTCCTAGTTCTAAAATTGGCTATTTCTCAAAGGACCCCTGGTACCTTTTAGTGGGGAATAACATGTATAAAAAGAAACTGTGGGGCCAAAGGTGCTGTGAGGTGGCCTAGTGGTAAGCAGCTGTGCTGCAATTCCAAAGACATACTTTGAATGCACCAGCTGCTCCACAGAAGGATGGGCAGGCTCCTCTTGTGCTGTTTACAACCTCTGAAAACCTGCTGCAGGGTCAGCTATGGTTTGGTTCCAACCCGATGGCACTCAACAATAACAACAGGTACTATCACTTCTAGGTTCTTTGCATAGAGCTGGGAAGCACGTGCAGACCTTTGACTTTTGACACTTTTTACTATTCCCATTTTCCTGAGTCTGTCCCGTTCGTTATATGTGACCTTTTTATGGCCTATATTGTCATTATTTCACATTTAAAATTATTGCTAATTTGGTTTTCCTTTCTTTGTTATTTAAAATTCAGCTGAAATTAACTTTTCTATAATTATATTTTATTAATTTTCATAAACATTTACAGAGATTTTGGGTTTCCATTCAAAATTAACTTTTCCAAATCATTTTCACATGTTGTGTTTAGTCCGTTTTCTTTTCTCTCTGTTGTTACTCATGACTGAAATTTCTGAAAGCATACTTTCACTATTTTCACTTTTCCTTCTGTTTCGGCCAACATAAACCCTCCAAGTTCGACTTCTGTGCTCTCATTGTCCCCGTAGTTACTCAAATCAACTCTGATGCTCTGTTTCTTTTCACTGCCTGTTTCCCTTATGAAGCCTTCCCCGAATATTGTGCCCCATAATGGCCGCTCGTTACTTAAGTGTCTGGGAGGTTTATCACATTTAATACTCTACAATTTAAAAGAGTGAAACTTTTTGTTGTCTTTAAGTAAATAATCCTTCATAGTGATTTATTCCCACTTGATTTCTCTTATATGTGATTGTACTGCTCTTATGGACATGCTGATTGATTTCTTGAGTATTTTAAAATACACTTGAATAATAAGCCTTCAGAAGTCCTCAACATGGAATGTGTTATTATCTGCCTCTTAGTTTATATATTTCTTAAGTGAGCACAGATTTTAAAACAAAGGATCTCTTTTTGTCCCTACCCACCAATATATATATTTTCTATCCAAGTGGAATTACAGCCCTTGCTTGAAAATTAGCAAATATATTAAAATTCTTAAAACTAAATATCTGCGTGACTCTTATGCTCTTTAGAATTCTGGAGGGATTTGTTTTGGTTTTTAAATTTTTATTAAGATTGTTTTTCTGGAAGATAAATTGAGAGCTCAATCCAACCTGGGAACAGAGTGATCTCTTCAAGAGATCTTACCGATTAGATGTTGTTCTGTGTCTTCTTTTTACCCACGAGGATCATGCTAAATTCATTGTGGTCAGTTGATGTGCTGTGAAAAGTAGGAAAACATTTTACAAAGAAAAAGGTAGAGAATGAGGGTTAAAGAAAAGTCAGTAGGTGATAATTCATGTACCAGCATGGTTCCTTAGGTGGACCTGTGGTTGTTCTGAGGAGCAGAGGTATTTTGGTAGAGATGAGCATATGTATAGTGGTTTGCTTTTCCTATCATTCATACTAGCCAGAGGCAATCTGTCAAGTCCTAGGAATACAAGAAGATAGTGTGTGACAATGGATTTATGCCACATTTTTGAGACTTTTTTTTATATGAAGTAGAAACTTAAGGAGTCGAACTTAAATCTGGAAGAGAGACGAGTAAAAAACTAGTTAAGTCATATGACTATGTAGTAATAAGGGAATTAATATAAATCATGATTCTGATTTCTTTTTTGTTTTGCAGTTTAATTGGTTGGGGTCAGATACGAAGAGGAGTGACAATCAAGCCAACAGTGGATGATGACTGAAGAATCCCAGTTAAATAACGAAGTAGACTTCCAGATGAAGTCGGAATTTCCCTTAATAGGCCAGGGGTTTATTTTCAAAGCAATCCTGGGGAATTACTTTCATAGCTCATTAAGTATAGGGGCTGTAAAATTATTTTCAGCTTTTGATGTTGAAAATTTAGCCTCTGGTACTAGGTTCAGGTCTCCATTTAAATGTAAAAATTAATTGACCATGTTGAATCTACTCCACATTTTGGAAGAAATTAATTATTCCCAAATAATACCTACTTAATATCTGATTAAATGCAGTTATGAAATCAAATTGTTACAGTCAGTCTTTGCTGTAGCACAGGTGCCCCACTGAACCTGTTTGAAATAAAGCTTCCTTAGTTGTTTCATGCTTTGTTCTAGGCTTGAAGGACTGTTGTACCAGTAACAGACTTCTTAAAGACCAGCTGTTGTTTTTCTTTTTTAAATTTAAGGTGAAAAGAAAATGAATAGGCTCAAATTTTATTAACCTATAGAGCATAGACAAGCCTTTGCTTACTCTTACCCTTCTACTAGAACACAGGAAATAAAAGCCAGTTGTGTTCCCTCCCTGTGACTCTCTGCATTGACTTGCCCCTGAAATGCAAGTCTTCCTACCATTGAAAAATAATATTCTGAGATTGTAGATTAACTAAACTCTTTCCTGGCCTTATTTTACTTTTTGGGTTGGTCTCCCCCTTAACTGCTTACTTGATGTGGTTATGACATAAATCTAATTTTAATAATCTTTGGCACTTTCAGCAGGTAAAAGATGAGAAAGCATGGGGTGAGCCGATTTGTTTTAACTGGTTCTCCATATCTTTGCTTTCTTCCTCTGTTATATTTTATTCCTTATTTATTTTTGCTTATTACGAGATTCTGTTTGAGCAGTGGTTCCCAACTCTGACATTAGAACTTCTGGGGAAGCTTCAAATAGAGAAAGAAAGATTGCCCCCATAGAGATTCTGATTTAATTGGTTGGGGTGGAGTGCAGGTGGTGTGTTTTAAAGTTCCTCAGGGTTGAGAAACAAGTTGAGCTAGTTAAGTAGTAGGAATATTCAGTAATAGAATCTTCTTGAGTTTTACAGCCTAATACTTTTTAGTTAATATTTCTTATATTTACATTTAAGACAGGATATAAGGGCACACTATGCTTTTTGTAACCCTGAAACTGCCTTGTAAGAGTTTAAAAGCTGTAGCTACATGTCTTTACTGAAATATATAAATTTTGAGAAAGCATTTTTAAATGTTACCTAGTTGATTTAATTTGAAAGGTGATTTTGTAGCCTGAGCAACATATTTATTTAAAACAGCATTCTATTCCAAACAGTTTTATGTCTTCCATGTCCCTGTGTGTCTTGTAAACATCTTCTGCCAGAAATTCAGTAATAATTTAAAACTCAAAGTTGTCAGTGGTTGGCACATTCATTGTAATTAATCTGATGCTGGAATCCAAACAAGAAATTCATTGTAATTAAAGCCTCTTCGTCATTTTTAGAGAAATTATTTGTAAAGCACTGTACTTAGTGCAGTCAGGATATGCAAATAGAGTAGATTCTATTTTCATAGAGCTTGAAATCATTGCAGCAATTTTCAACAAAAGATATAGCTAGTTGAGAATCAGTTCCTATAACTGATCTTATAGATGAAAGTATGCTGCATATGTACATCCTATAGGCTCTACTATTGTGATATTTTTCTGATCAGTTCTCACTCACCACCTCAGTTGCTGCCATGCTAGTCAAAGGCACCATTTGCTCTCAGAAGGAACTTAACTCCTTGATTCCAGAGGCCATGAAAAGACACTTCACCAAAAGAAGCTACTCATTTGACCTACAGATACATGAAGAAATGCTCAAGATGTTAGAAGCAAATTAAAACAAGATGCCATCTCACCCCAACAAAAAGAGTAGTAGTAAAACTTCGAACAACAAATCGTGGCAAGGTTATGAAGAGATTCGAACTCACTCTCATTCACTGCTAATAGGAATGCAAAATGGTACATGGTACAATCACTATGAAGAACAGTTTGGTGCTTCCTTAGAAAGTTGATAACCTAAAAAATTATTATAAATTTGTGAAATGCACAACATGGATAAATCTAGAATAAACAATGCTAAATTATGTAAACCAGTCACAAAAAGCCATTTATAAGGCCACTACTATAAAAAAAGTTAAGGTTTACACTAAATCAATCTTGGAAATGTTAACAGGAATTAGGGAGGGAGAATGGAGGAAAAAGTAATACTCAAGTTGGATAAAGGGAAAGGATTTTCATGAGATTGTAATTCATAAATGTTCTAAAACAAAACATCTGATGGGATGAAAATGCAATGTGATTTGTAAACTTGGACTCAAATAAAAAGAAAATTGTAGCTCTGCAAAAGCCAATGTGAACTTACTATGTTGTGCCAACTGTCAAGTAGTAGATAATTCTTTGGATATTTTTATTGGTTTTCATATAATACTGGTGCAGTATGTTTCACTCATTTCCATTGTTTTACAGTCTTTATTTACATTGTTTCATGTACATTATTTTTTATAGTTTATTTACAGAATTCTAATACATTATTTTTCACACCTGATTCTTCCCATTTCCCTCCTTCATCAAATTGTGCAATACCATCATTAATATCACCCACCCACCCATCCTTGCCCCTCTGCTTCCACCCTCATCCCCCTTAGATCCTCATTCCATAATACTGGTTTTATACAGTATTGATCCTTGTAGGACTGAGTTAGTTCACTCCAGCCCCTCCCAAGTTAGGTAGTAATTCACAAAATCATTACTCCTGTGTGCTGCATAGTATTCCATTGTGTGACTGTACCATAATTTTTCAATCCATTCGATTGGTTGGACAACTGAGCTGCCTTCCAGACTGGTTGCACCATTGTTCAATCCCACCAACAATGTTTTAAGAGTTCCTATTTTAGTCACAGAGGTGCACGATTCATATCCACCAGATCCTCTGCTGGAGAAGGAGGGGCAATCTCCTGTACCAGTCATACCCAATTTGATGGCATACGTAAAAATACAATTTTTTTAATTAGCTTTTGTGTGTGTGTACCGTCAAACTGGATCTGACTGGTACAGGAGGAGATGGCCCCTTTTCCAGCAGAGCATCTGGTGGATTTGAACAGCGTGACTCTGGGATTGCAGTGCAGCTACTTGCCACTAGGCCAAAAAATTTTTTTTTAAAAATTCCTGAAGAAATGTTCAAAATCCCTAGCCGTGAGAGAGATGCAAATCAAGACAACCATGAGATATCATCTCACTCCAGTAAGACTAGCAAAATTT